AGGGGGAACTTGTTGCATCTCTTGTCTAAGACATACTCTTTCACATGTTAACACCACTGAAATCAGAAGTTGACTTATTGTTGGGTCACAGTATCAGCAGCCTATAAGGCTTATTTCAGTGATATAGCTAAAATTATAGATTCAGTAAGCAATGTATCTTTCTAAAATAGATGAAGAACTTTGAGTTAGTTCCTATTTCTTAGAGTCTTTAAGTCTGCCCTAGACCTAACTCCAGCCTCACTACCCGCTACAGCTGTTCTGTGATTCCCCTGGGCTCCTTGGTACCCTGTTGTACCTGCACATCTTCACCTTGGAGACACAGCTGAAGGGCCTCTTGCAGTCCCCACCCTGCCTTTCCCTCTCCTCCTGTTCCCTGCTCAAGCTGAATTGGACCCTCTTCTCAGGTCTCATGGCTGCAGTCATTCTGCTTACCATAACCAGAAACCTTTGTATCTTAGCTTGTCTCATCTCTGGTTCCTGACAAGCCACCTGGAGTGAACTAGAAGCTGGACTTTGACTTCAGGAGGGGCCTCAGGAATAGGCTTATGAAATGCAGGGCATTTTGTGTCCCTTTCCAGGAGGTACCTGTCTTTCTAAAGCTCATGCTTCTGCCTGGATGCAGAGCCTGCTGGCCTCAACTTTCTCAGTAAAGCAGGCCACATTTTATTGGATGATTTCACTCCTTATTTAACCACAAATACTGATGATATGACACACCTGCTTGGTTGGGGGAAATGGTGTTTTAGTGTTTTTTCTGTCTCCTTGTAAACTATGGCATAGGATGTTTTGAAATATAGAATTTATCTTGGGATCAGCTGTTATTAGACTTCAAGGCTATCCCAAAGGCCTGCCGCCCTTTAATCAGAGTAGTATGTGTAAGCTGGGAGCAGCAGCATCTGCCAGGGCTTGGCTGTGGAGGCCCATGTCCTGCCCAGCCACTCAGGGCTGTGCTCTCAGGCAGGTTACTTAGCCTTTCTCACTTGCAGCTTCCCACTTGTGAAACAGCATCCAGGGAGCTCTCAGGTTCATTTCCTTAAGTCTTTGACAACTCCAAATAACACTGCCAATGTTTCCTCCAAAGGAAGCTGAATTTTTAACTCTTGTAACTTTTAATAATCTTATAAAACCATCAGATTATGCCATACAAGGGAATTATAAAAACCTACATTTGTTTCTATCAGTTCAAAATACTAAATTTCATGTAGAGAATTCTACACTTTGTAGGGTTTTTTTTTTTTTCTTTTTTTGGCTCATGTGAGGAATTCAAGTAGTTGCTACATATGTCTGTTCCAGTTATACAGTGCTACCTCAGTTCCCCAACTTGATTCTTTCCACAAACAGTTGGATGAGAACCCAATCAAATTCACTGGTTAGGTTCAATGTTGACCTTACAGGGAAATTTCATTCAGTTCTTGTCCAGTTCGGTTTGCAACCAGAATCATGCAGAAAATTGAGTTCGTGAACGAGGTACCACTGTACATCTGAAAAGTGGGGAAATTAACCACAGGGTTGGAGTGGGGACTCACAGGACTCTTTGTTTTTTTTGTTTTTTTTTTTTTTGGTACCGGGGATCGAACTCAGGTCTTTGCCCTTGGGAGGCAGGCAATGGAACCACTGAGCTAAATCCCCAGCCCAAAATTAAATCCTACATGCATTCTTTTCTTTTTTTTGGTACCAGGGATTGAACTTGGGTCCTTGGGCTTGCACAGCAGGCGGCGAAAACACAGGACCCTTTGTGAGATGGGCCTGAGCCAAAACTCTGTTAACCACTGGACCTCCATCAGCCCCTAGTCTGACGGAGAGACCACAATAGTATTTTGAGTCTTCATGTATTAGGATCGTTTTGGAACTAGTGTTCCCTGATGACCAGTGGTTTGACTGTTTTACCTTCCCTACTTCCTAAAGTTAGCACACTTTCTAAATGTCTGCAGGTCCCTCTCGCAAGGCTGGAATACTGAGAAATCTAACATTTGCAAAATGTGCCACCCTTTCTCATGGTTAAATGCAAGAGTCATGCCATGGGTTACTAACCAGAATAGTTGGTCTAATGTAATACAAACTAAAATAGAAATTTAAGACTGGGATCTTGGGTGGTTAGAAGAGGGAAATTACCTGGGAAATGGGACAGGTAAAAAGTAGGTTGGTTCTCAAGCTGGGCTGAGGGTGTACATTAAGGATTTGGCTGTGAAGGCTAATTTGGGGGCCATAGTTACCAACTTTTTAGGCCTATGTAGGTTTTAGCTATTACCACCTAAGTGTGATATCTTCTGTGAAATCATCCATGTTATTTTTCTGATGTAAATTTTGTCTTTTGCATAACATGTGAGAACCTTATTCTCAGCACTGGAATTATTGAAATCAGTGACTTTCTAAGGACCTGGTTGGGGTCTGTGTCAGTGAAGATGTTAGTGATGGCCAGTGCCTAATTCCCAAAGTACCTATATTTTGCAAAATGTATTTTATGTCTGTACCTTAACTCACAGTAACCATATGGCATAGATGCCATTCTCATATTTGGTAGATAAGACTGAGCTACTCAGGTTAAGGGACTTGCCCGAGGTTCTAGGCATCTTTCATCATGTTTTCCTCTAAACTAAGAATCCAGCCAGTAAACCAGTGGGTAGAGCAGGGGTCTACACCCAGACTCCTTGCTTCCTGTTCTGTGCTCCTCTCACTTCACCCTGGCTTGCTTCACAAAAATGCACTGAGGCCTAGGCACCATCCACGTCCCCTCTTTCCATCTCATCTCATTGTGAGGTAGCAGAGGCCAGGCAGGCAATCTGCCTGCAGTACAGGACTGGTATTCTGGTGTGTCTGTTCCAGTTTCTGGTGGGCAGATAGAGGCCCCTGCATGAAAATGTGTACTCTAGCTTCTTCTGAAATAAACCCAAGCAAGGGCCCTTTGCCTACTCAGGGAAACAGTTTCCTGTCTGGGACAAATGGCTGTGTCCCCCAGTTTTCATTCTGTTAATTTACTGATGGTGTATCACATCCCCAGAATGCTTCTTCCTATTTGGTGTTTTCCTTTCCACAGCCCCTCAGGCTCAGCTCACTTCCTGAGAGCAGGCTCCTCAGTCCAGGGTTCCATCTACTTTACCTATGCACCAAGTTAGGCCACTTTTTTACCTTTTTTCCAAATCTATGGTACTGTCTGTTTGGCAGACTTGTTTTCTTTTTTTCTTCAGTTGCCATAGTTACCAACTTTGTACATAAAAATAATCGTCAATCCCCACCCTTTATTCTCCCATCAGAAGTTTCACTATTTTCTAATGTGCCTTTACAGAAGGAATTTGATGGCTTTTAAATCATTTCCTTTCTGGCTGTACTTCCAGGAAACATTTCTTGCTCTTTTTCTTCTGTCTGTCTAACTAGAATCTAGATGGATTTGGGGTTCAGATTGCTCCTTCATTTTGCAGTGTTTTTAGGTAGAGACCCTCAGCCCACTTGCCAGTGACCTAGAAAGAGTATTAGGAGAGGGAAGAGAACTGATCAAAAAAAAAAAAAAAAAGCCATCTGTCCTAAACTAGTTCTACCTGTATCACCTTGATTGTGAGTAATATAAACAAATTATATAATTGCAGGGGAAGTAAGTCTAGCAGGTTGTGATAAAAAACATGAAGCTTTTGTCTAGTCATGTTGTTGGCTGAACCTGGAACTCCCAAGCCTCTGGCTTTGGGACTATGTGCATTGATAATTTCAGGGCCATTTGTGGTAGCGGGAGTCTTCTGGAGCTCTGATCATCTTTATAATAAGGTACCAAGGAGTAAATGACCAGCAAGAGAGGCTGTCTGAAGAGGTAAGGCCCTTGTCTTTGGTAGGATGGATATACCATGCTGGGAGCCAGAGAACTTGTTTTCAGATACTTACTTACACCTGACTAGGTGACTACCCAGGGCAAGTTCCTTCACTTTCATGCCCTCCTTTTCATTAGATGATAAGATGTCTGCCTGCTTAGACTTAGCTCCAGGGGCAGTTGCCATCAAATAACTTCCATCTAAGGGCTCAGTGTGGCAGCATTTGCTTTGTAGGGAATATTGGGATTTGCTTGGAGATGCCAGCCACCAGTTTTCCTGGTTTTGAGCCCACACAGCACAATTCATTTTATGTATCTATCTCAGATGCTACTGTTCCTACCAGACTTCCTATTTACACCTTCGTGGTTCATTTGTCCCTGTGTCCCATTGTCTGTTCCCTTTCAGTCTGGAGTTCCCTTCTTGCTTCCCCCTCCTAATCTGCCTGCCCTTTGAAGGGTAACTCAGATCCTGCCCCTTGTGACTGCTTCAGACCTGGTGACTCCTGCCTACCTTCCTTGCTGCCTGAGTCTGGCTTATGAAGATTGCTTTGGCAGATGCCTACCACCTCAAAATTAAACCCTATAGAGCTGAAGGCATATTACTTACTTAACTTGTGTTAGACATGTGGTATGCTACCAGTGGATATTGATGGATTGAAGAATGCTTCTGAAATAATGTTAAAATGCTGCTCCACATATACTAACAAGAATCCTTAAACAGGTTAGGAAAGAAGAGAGAGAAGGTCATTTGTCTGGCAGGAAGTAACAGTGATAATAGAAACAGCAGACATTTGACAGCCTTCTCTCATATTGTACCTTGTTCATCTTCCCAGCGGCCTTGGGAAGTATGGGTGGAATGATGCTCCCTGGTAATAGACAAATATAAAGAAACAATGGTTTTATGGTCAACCAGACAACAGTAAAGCTGAGTTCACACCCAGGCCTCTTAATTACAACCCCCAGGTGCTTGACACTGGTCCCTAATGCCTGTGTCATACCTTTACTTGTCCTAAGTTGGTGGAAATGCACCTGCGTATTTAGAATTGGCTCAGTGCTGGTTTTGCCAGTTCTCTTGGAGAAATTATATTGTCACTGTCATTCTTTAATATAGTGCATTTCTTTGCACTACATTAAAAAGTACAAAGTGCAGAAGTGATGTGAACATGTCCATCTCACTGAGGCTCTTTCCTGTCCTCTTCTGATTTAGGAGAAAGGATCCTGGGCTATGCTGAAGAGCCCTGCTATCTCTGGTTTGTCATGGAGTTCTGTGAAGGTGGAGACCTGAATCAGTACGTCTTGTCCCGGAGGCCAGACCCAGCCACCAACAAAAGCTTCATGCTACAGCTCACGAGCGCCATTGCCTTCCTGCACAAAAACCACATCGTACACAGGGACCTAAAGCCAGACAACATCCTCATCACAGAGCGGTCGGGCACTCCCATCCTCAAAGTGGCAGACTTTGGACTGAGCAAAGTCTGTGCTGGGCTGGCACCTCGAGGCAAAGAGGGCAATCAAGACAACAAAAATGTGAATGTGAATAAATACTGGCTATCATCAGCCTGTGGCTCAGACTTCTACATGGCCCCTGAAGTCTGGGAGGGACACTACACAGCCAAGGCAGACATCTTTGCCCTGGGCATTATCATTTGGGCAATGATAGAAAGAATCACTTTCATAGACTCTGAGACCAAGAAGGAGCTCCTAGGGACCTATATTAAACAGGGAACTGAGATTGTCCCTGTTGGTGAGGCGCTGCTAGAAAACCCAAAGATGGAGTTGCACATCCCACAGAAACGTAGGACTTCCATGTCTGAGGGGATCAAGCAGCTCTTGAAAGATATGTTGGCTGCTAACCCACAGGACCGGCCTGATGCCTTTGAACTTGAAACCAGAATGGACCGGGTCACATGTGCTGCTTAAAATTCAGGGCTGAACATCTTGGGTGTTTTTAAACTAGGTGAGTGCTCTCTTCTTGTTCTGCATGCACACTTATTGGACTGGGTTGTGTTTTGAGTCCTGGGGAGCTGGGGAGAAATACAGGGTCGATGAGAAGTAAGTCCTTATTATCAAAGACTCCTCCCACCCCCAAATCTCAGTAAGGAGATAGGTGGATTATTTGAGCCCAAGCTGGGAAATACATTATAGAGGTCTTCTGAGGGGGACTGCATTTTTACTAATACCTTGTAAATTTTTAGAAATACTTTTTCTTATCAAGTAATAAGTAGTCACTGTAGAAAATGTGCTACAAAAGCAGTATAGGTTTTCAGGGAATAATCATTATCCATAATCCTTTCTGTTCACACATCCACTGTAGTTTAAATCTTACTGTAGTTAGGGAATGTTACTTCCTGCTCTTTTCACTCAGTACTGGTCTGAACATTTGAACATTCCTTCCTCCCTCTTGTCATCCTTCAAGTGTGACTTCCAGTGATGGTATGGCATCCCACTGTACATAATTTATTCTGCTTTGGATAGCAGACTTTTTTTTTCACTTTAGATACTATAAAGAGAACAATAGTGAATAGTGAAGTTTTGCTTGTTTACTAGAATTATGAGGGGTTTCATTGGTCAAATAGGCTGTGGGGTAACTTGACAAAAATCAGACACTCCCCTTCCTCATGAATTTTGCAGCTTAGGAGAGAAGCATTCATCGATTTTTTATCAAAGTTGCTTTACAGTGAAGGAGAGGGGTGTTGAAGGATAGTTGACCTGTCAGGAGATGGTGCCCAGAGGCAAGAATAGCAAATACAGGGTAGAGGGGAGTACCCCAGGTAGAAGGATCACCCTCTACAAAGCACTTGTCATCCAAGGGAGCCTAGCCCATTGGGAAACCCTAGACCAGTGGTGGCAAACTTATGGCATGCATCCCATAGCAGGCTGTTTGTATCATTAAAAGCTCTAAAAGGTTCGCCATCACTAGCCTAGACCAATTTAGTTTTGTGAGAATGTAGATATGTGGAGATTAGGGAAGACAAGGACCTGCCAGGACAAGGAATAGTGTGGGCAGAGGTTGAGGTAGAAAATCCAAAGGTGTAAGCTAGGGCAGTAGATCAGAAACTGATCACCATATATGCTTGGTACTGTATTTTCACATTGCCATTCATTTTACTTTTACCACCCTGCCAGGAGTCAAATGATTTATCCAGGATCTGACTACATTGAGGCCAAGTATATCTTATTTGAGTGGGCCTCTTCCCCTTTTCCTTTAATGTCAATATGAAAAGGCAGAGATAAGCTACTCTTAGATTTTGCTAAAGCCTTGAAATTGGCGGGGTGGTGGGTGTTGCTGGTTGCAGTGATTACAGGGAGGAAGCCTCGGGAGTCATCATTTACAAGGTTAGGTTCTTTTTTTTAGTTTTTTGAGACAGGGTCTCACTATGTAGTTCAGGCTGGCCCTGAACTCACTGTGTAGCCTAGACAGGCCTCAGACTTGCAGCAATCCTTCTGCCTCATCTTCCCAAGTGCTGGGATTACAGGCATGCACCACCATGCTTGACAAAGGTCAGTTCTTAATACCCTTGTCACCCTCAGATTTCTAGGTGGACCTGGTTCATAGAGTTGAGTTGGGTCTGATTTCTCATTGAGCATACTTGGAAGTGAGTCACTAAGTTTAATTCTTCTGTTCCACAGACACTTTGAGAATCTTCCATGTGCCCAGCCAGTTTGTCTGCCACCCAGTGACTAGGAGAAGTGTCTTTCCCCAGAATGAGACTTGGGTGGTGCTGTGTTAAGAGACTCAAGATTTGGCTTGCCAGTGTTTGAATTGTATTTCATTCTATCATTTCATATTTCCATCTCACTTTCTGTTTTTGAAAGACCTCATACAATTCAAATTTGCCCTGATGTAGGAGGAGGGTTCGCATTTGAAGGACTTCAATTTGGGTTAGGATTATGAGGTTGTCGCAACTAATTGAGATCACGGCTCCCATTTAGACATCCACACTTGGGATTTGTGTTGCTTTATAGGGCAAAGTTTTGTTAAACATGGATACTTCTTTTATCTAGGAAAAATAGGTGGCTATGAAAATAAGAGAAAAGGTTAGGAACTTGTTTACCTTAAGTGTCCCAGGAGAGTTGGCCGATTCAGTTTGTGATGCTGACAGCTAATTACTACTGTGCTAGTGGTACCAATTTGACCATAACCTATCTTCTTGCACTGTCAGGATGGGGGATGGGACTTTGGATTGTGGGCCTGGGCCTAGGTCTGAGTGCGTGGGGCTGAACCTTGTGCTATTAGAAGCTGCAGTCTTCTTATGGTTGTAAATAGCCATATCTGGCTGGTTAGAGAGTCAGAAGCTTGAGTTGGGAAGAACACTCGAGTACAATCCCTCTCCCCTTGCCAAGCTTTATAGACAGCAAAGCTAATTCCATTTATTCATTCAATATATTTGAAAATTATTTGCCATGTACCATTTTAGACACAGATGATATATTTGAACAGAAAAGCCAAAGTTTTGAGGTTGTGGAGCTTTCTATTTAGAAGACATAGTAAAACACAAGTCACCTAAGAGAGCATAGGAAAAGAGAAGAGGGAGGTAACTAGAAGTCAAATAGAGTAGGCTTTATAGGCCATGGCAGAGATTTTAACTTTTGTTTTTATGTAAAATGTGTGTTTTGAGCTTTGTGACATTTGGTCCCTTGAAAGGGTCACTTCATCTGCTGTGCCAAAAGTAAGATGTAGGGGAGAAGTGAGAGGGTAAGATGGGAGACCACTGTAGTAAACCAGTTCCAAGGTGGCAGTGGCTTGAGATTGTGGAGCAGGGGAGTGATGATTAGATTTGGGGTGTATTTTAAAGTCAGAGCCAGTAAGATTTCCTGTGGATTGGATACGAAGTATGAGAAGGAATTAAGCATGACTGGAAGGTTTTTCCCTAAGCTATTGGAAGGATAAAGTTGCTGTCAAGTGAGATAGGGGAAGACATCGGAGAAGGAATGGGTTTGGCTGGAGAAAGTTGGGTTTTGTCTTCTGGGAGTGGCTGAACTCTGGATTGTCTAACATTAAGATTGGGGAGAAAGAAGGGAGCTGATACATAAGAAGAAGTAATCAACTGGCATTCCCTTTGGATAAGTTAAGTGAAATGAAGACTTAAGTATTGACCATTGGGTTTGCCAGATGGGAAGACATTAGTGATGCTAGGAGTTACAGGGAAACCTAGTGAGTAGATTTTAGAAGGAGCAAGGGGGAGAGGGTTTCGAGAAGGTGAGAGCATAGATCCTGATTCTTGGCTTTGGGTGTGAAAACCCTTTTACACTGGTGGAACAAAGGACTCTAGAGAACGTTGGTTTTGGACTATATTTGGATATTTGCAATATTAAACATTAACACTGAGAAAAATGTAACAGTTATATAAGTATATTTTATGAAAAATAACTTCAAAAATGAAAAGTAAGCACTGTAAGTAGAGTGGCATTGTTACATGTATTTGCAAACCTCTTTAATGTCTCCCTTAGTAGTCAGCTGGTTTTTCATTTGCTTCTGTATTGTAATCTGGGCCATGTCACCATCATGTAACGCTGGAAGGCTCTGTTGTATATAGTAAAAGTATAGAAAGTATTCTTTGCTCTAGATGAAATCTTGGTAGCTGCCTCCCAACACAGAAAGTATATAGTACTTTCATATAGTATATGTGAAAGTAAAAAAAGGCAGATAATACCTTTATCAGTATGAAAAAGTTTGGCTTCACAGAATTCCAAACCAGACTGCACTTTGAGAACCAGTAGTACAGATAGCTCTGAGGAGTTTTGCTGTGAAGACTAACAGAGAAGTGGGTGGTAGCTAGAAACTTAGAAAGGGATAGAGAGGTCCTAAGTGAAGGGACAGAACTTATGTGTCCTGATTCTTTTCCAGTTTTCCTGTTAGACTCGTTTCAGTTCAGATTAGCTGCATAGAATAAGCACATCTGACCCCAGTCCAGTACAGATGTGAAGACACACCTCAGTAGTCTAAGACTGTGGATTTCAGAGTGACATTTAAATCAAGGATAAATGGTATCAGTTTTTTTGCCATAGTGAAAGGAAATGCCCTTTGTGTTGGAAAGTTGGGATTCCCTTGAAAGGATTGTTGGCTAGTGACAATGCACAGATAGAGTCCTATTTGTGGTAAATATAAGAAACTATCTTGTGTAATTAAATGTTCCAGAAAGATGTATCTATTTTTAATAATTACTCAATGATGGGTCCTGTCTCTCCTTTATTTGTCAGTTTTGGAAGACATGTAATAGGCCAGCCACTAGTTTTTTTTGTTTTGGTTTTTTTGGTACTGGGGATTGAACTTGGGTCCTTGCGCTTGCGAAGCAGGCAGCAAAACCACTGAGCCAAATCCCTGGCCCCAGCTACTAGTTTTATCCCAGCCAGAAGCTGGCCAAACTGATGTTCCAGGTGCCACCACCCACATGTTACCAGGGAGCGTGTTGTGGGATGAAGGAATCTGCATTCAGGCCAAGTCTGCTGTACCGTACACAAACCTCCGTTACTAGGGCCTTTTGAGGCCAAGCCCTTGAATGACGTCTATTTGGAGTTGGGCAGCTAAGGCCTGCTGAAGGAAATCAGATGTTGATGTGACCCGAAAGGTCATGGAAAGTATTCTTTGCTCTAGATGAAATCTTGGTAGCTGCCTCCCATCACAGAAAGAAGTCACGCCTAATTTCTTGGTAAAAGTTACAGAGCTAGTAACGCGCCAAATCTAGATTTGAATGTAGGCCTTAGTCCATGGCTTTGACCACTGTGGTATATTGGCTCATTGAATCATCTAAATTGTCTATAAACTTTAAATGTTTTCATAATTGAATTCGGCCATCAATTACACATTAACCATATTGAATTTCCTTCCCACCTTTACGTGAGCATCCTGAGAAGGGTGACATGGACATGAGACACCTGGTGCTTAAGTTTCCTATGAGAGGAGGTAGTTTCTTCTGCTCTGAGAAAGTTCAGAGAGTGCTGGTGAGCACCCAGGTA